AGCCCAGTGGTGCTGGGAAAAAGCCATTTAACGCTATCGACTCTGGATTCTCATACTCCACTGGAGGACTGTTTTCAGAGTATACCTCCGGTCAATCGGTCGTCGCCCCTAATAACCTTTGTAGGCGTAAACAAGCGAGGATAATCGCGAAGAGCTTCCCAATCATTTTGCAGTTTTAATACTTTGTAAAGGTTTTTGAGTAACATCGGAGGTCCCGGTCAATTTACTATGAAGTAATGACCTCCTAGATACAAAGTATGTCCTGATTATCTTGAGACACGAGATGGAAGTCTGAATAGCATGGTAGATCGTTCGTGCTTACAACGAAGCCTCCACCGGTGAGATTTAAAAAAAATATAGTACTGCTATTACGGAATATAATAGTCCAAATTAGAAGTGGCTAAGGTCTCATTCACAGGAAGGTGTAGAGAGACAATTACAGAAATATTTTTCGAATAAACCAGTATAAGTGTTGAATCCCCTGCAAATCGTTCTACTTGTCACTTGGTTTTCTTGTTTTTGTTTCCGAGTAGAATATGATTAAAATAATATAAATAATACAGAATATACCTCGTCGTACGATACAAGACTTTACCGAGAAGTTAAAATTATTATTTTGAATTGGTTTTTTTTTTAAATAGCGTCTCATGGTAACGTTGAAATATTTAAAGCAATCGTTTAAATTTAGGAAACACTAGAACTGATTATGTTAAAAACAAAGAAGAAAGCAGTTTTGTTCTATATAAATAAAACTAGCGACCCGCCCTCGCTTCGCTTCGGAAACTGTAATTTATTATTAATTGCTCCACTATTTAATGGATATTATTATACATATAAACCTTCCTCTTCAATCACTCTATCTATTAAAAAAACCGCATCAAAATCCGTTGCGTAGTTTTAAAGATTTTAGCATACATAGGGACAGACAGATATAAGGACAGAGAAAGCGACTTTGTTTTATACTATGTAGTGATTGTATGATTTTTTAAATACTTGAAACATTATGCGCAATTTGATTAAAAGGACCTGTTGTTGTAAAATTTTGACCGAATCCTAATTGAGATCTGATAAGTATCGATCAATAATAAACAAGGTCCATAATAAAACACATTGTTATTTGTCCTTCATTGAATAACAATCCAGATATAAAAACAATATTAATCTCTTACAATCGATAAACAGATAACATTATTCGCAATTGTAAACGACAAGGCTATTTTAGAGCAACTTATTAGTTAGCCGATTTGAAAACGCTTACAGATCTTGTATAAAACGGATTTTGTCAAATGGACCAAAAAACAATCCAATTGAAACTAAATAAATCTATTGTTCCTTAACCGAAAAGGAATGTATTTTTTTATAAAATGATAAGCCAATTTCTCTGGTCTATTACTTTTCCATTATAAGTTAGTAATTATTAAAGAAAATTAAAAAGAAAACAAATCTCTTTACTGACTGTACACTAAAAAACGCGATATACTCCAAACTTATTCTAAACTCAAGAGCTATTCATTAAATTGAAAGTTTTCATATTATATAATTACATAGTCAAAAAAACTCAAATCTATATATATATAAAAATGAATTTCTGTTCGTTAGTCTCGCCAAAACTCGAGAACGGTTGGACCGATTTTGCTAATTTTGGTCTTGAATTATTTGTGGAAGTCCAGAGAAGGTTTAAAAGGTAGATAAATATGAAAATGCTCGGAATTAAAGAAAAATAACAATTTTGTTTTCCCTTTAATGTCCCCCCCCCCGTCGGACGGATTCCTTTTGTTTGTATTAAGTTTATTTTATACAAAAGCTTAGGTTTTTTATTTATCGATTGAGGCACTACGAAGTCTGCCGGGTCATAATTATAAAATACGGGGGTGTCAATACCGGTTTTCTGTCATACGTCCGTAGTATTTAGTATTACATTTAATGGTTAATTATTAAGTTTTCTGCTTTACCCCGAAGCATCATTTAAGTAGAAGAATCAGCAATTGCACTAATGGACTTAAAACTTCAATCGATATCGATGTAGGAGTCTGCGTCATTTACGCTGATGACCGTAAGCTCCGTTAACCAGTTTTAAACTACCCAACTTTAATAAAAAAGAAAGGAAATCAAAACAATTAAATAATATGTTGATACATTCAATACAAGCAACTCCGTATACATATCGTAAGTCACTACGGGCGTGTCGTCAGCGTTCACGTGCTGAACGCATGCGCGCGATAATGATTCGTGCCATGTCATTAAATATTTTATTACTAACTGTCGTACATATTATTACGGCTTTGCCTTTTTTTTATTATCAATTACGAGAGACAAATACTTGAAAAAAACCTTTAATTTATTCTTCGAACTTCCAATTATGATTAAACATTATTCGTCCAATACTGTTTTGTTACAAAGCACATGTGAACGAAAACAGAAAGAGCACGTTGTTTACATAACGCAGATAAACGAAGAATTAATTATTAAATTTAACTTAATTAGATAATAAATAATTCCGAAAGTGAGATAACTAAATGATATAATAAAATCACGTTTAAAATCACGCATCTCAAAAATGTTTATTAATCAATTATAATTTTAAACACGTGGAATGCGATTATTGTGTTATACACGCTTTCCCTCCCAGATTCACCTTGACAATAGGTTTCCAGTTATTGGAGACGTCCTAACAGAGTTCGGAGTAGAATTGAAATAAGTCGATCAGATTCTATATAATCGTTGACACTTAGGTGCTCACTTTGTTGACCTGAATCTCTGACTGATGAGGAAGATTAACATTGGTATTTTTCTTCCCAGCATCAGGGGCCTCGAGAAGGAACTCTCGAAAGCTCGATTATCAGTGGTGAGCCGGTTTCCGTGCCAGTGCTTTCCCAGTTCTATAGTTCTCTTGTCTTCTATAGTAGTCCCGATCCTTGAGATCTGATTGAATTGTGACCTCGAACTCAGTCGCATCACCAAGTGTTGACTGATCATGATTGCATCGGAAAGTACCTGGATTGAAACCAGGTCGAAGGCAGAGTGCCATTACTTTGATGCGACTTAGACACGATAGATCACACGCTCGATATCTGCTCTGCATGAGAGGGGCTGCCCCGTGTCTTCGTCGGGGAAATTATCTTCTGCGAGTACACCATACCTCGCAAAATCAGCCGGCAGGGTGGGGTAAGGTAGCGTAATTTTAATCCCCCGCCTACCTCGATTGAGTTTTGTATCATTAGAGGCTCGGACGCGGGTGGTTGAGCGATTGGGAGACTTAGTCGATTAAACTCCAATATGCCCCGCCTACCGCCCCCAGCAAGTGAAATTTCGTCCTAAACTGTTATATAGGGCTTACAGGCTATTTATATAAAAGTAACATCAAGAAATTCTTTTAAAAAAAAATCTAAAAACCTGTTAATGCAAGAAAACGATTTTAATTTGATGTTATTACCTGCACAAATATACTTAATTCCTTTTTTGGTCAGATTTAAGTTATACTAAACACGGACAAACGTTATTTTGTAATTAGAATTCATTTAGTAGAAAAAAACATGGATAGTATATTAGACAAAACATCTGAATTTGCAATTTATCTTCATTATTGAAGACATTTGAGACGAGACGATTTCTTGACACGATTACGTCATGCAAACATGCCCACTAGTTAGAGCAATGTTATTGGCATTCATACATACATTATATTTTCTCCGGTTTGTGAATGTGTTGCTAATATGAAACATGTTTATCGTATTAGAGTAATAGCTCTGCTATATTTTTAGTGATGTTTCTAAATTAATGGTTCATTATGAATTTCTTTATGGTACCCACTTACAGGTAGGTAGGCAGGTTATCCTGCTCATTTCTATCGCGTAATTCTGATTTGGAAATTGAAACAGTCGTTATAATATTGCGCGTTTGACTTCAGCATTGAAATTCGGTGCGTTCTTTGTGATCATTCCTTTGCGCGTTTATTTGGTTTAGGCCACATTTTTACGTGTGCAAATTCAATCAAGTTAACCGTACGTCCTGTGCGAGTTTTAACGTTCTCGATAGCGTAAAAGTTAACTCAAATTAGTATGGATTTGGGACGTTTGCCTACATTTGCCGCTAAGGACGTTGTTCCAACTGCACACAAATTTGAGATAACCTTTACTCGATAAGCACGCTGAAGTCATTGAAAGTGACGTTCAAAGATTCCGTTCATACAATTGCATCGATCGCCCACCCTCGAAAGAATCTAACAAAACATTTTTTATCAGAGCGATAAGAATCGGCCCAATTTATCAATACGAAGCGAACTAAACAAAACACGAATCGCGCGGGTGCCACATGTGCGTCATTGTGGAAATACAGATAAATGTGACCTTACCCTAACATATGATTTGATAACAGCATCATATGGAAAATATCGTAGCCTGGTATTTTCTTTGTTTATACTTTTTAATTGAATAATACCCACTTATTACATATACATATATATAATCTTCGGTTTTACGATAAACGAGACATGTTACCTTCTATTAAATGGTCACTACAGCCCGTTGACATCAAATAATAATCTTTTTTTTTTTTATTACCAGAGCGCAAAGTTACGGCCGATAATAAACCAATCAAGTACACGTTAATCATCTACAAAGTCAATTAAATGTAAAAAAAAATCGAGTTCTTTTTCGAAATTCTTATTCTATTTTTTATTGCTTAGATGGGTGATCGAGCTCACGATAGACCTGATTTTAAGTGGTCACCGGAGCCCGTAGACATCTACAACGTAAACGCCCCCACCCATCTCGAGACACGAGTTCTAAGTCTCAGATTTAGTAATCTGTGGTGTCAGTTTTTCGCCCCAACCTTCAAGTCCAAACGCATTACAGCTTCACGGCAGAAGTAGGAAGGGTGGTACCCACCCGTGCGAGTTCACAAAACGCCCTACCACTAGTAAAGAACGCTTATTCAAGCAGCTTAAACATTGGCTCGTCACCTAAAAACACAAGTGAAGCAATATTAAGTAAGAAACTTACCATTGAAATAAAACTTGAGTCGATTAGCGAAGATGTTGATAGTTGGGATGTTTAGTCTCTCCGCGACCGGTTCTATTAGACTTCTGAATCCGCCCGAAACTAGATATACGATGACTCCTCTCTCGTGTAACTCTTTCACTAACTCTCTGCAAAGAAATTTATAATAGTATTCAAATGTTTTGTTGTTTTTATCAATAGTCACATTATTTGAAGAGAGCCCTATCAAAAGAGTTTGGCGTTTATCTACCGCATACCAATATGGCCAGGTTATGAAATGACACAATAAAATTCTCACTTCAGAAGTCAAGATCTGCACTAGTCAACTATGAACAGGAAATACAACAGAAAACCAAAATGGACTAGCGATGTTTGTTCGTGAAAAAAAAAACGGACTCAAAAAGATTATCGGCCTACTATGCCCGCGAAGCTTCCATTGTACTCTAAAACTTCAGGATAATCCAAGGACCAGGACCACTCATACGATTACTGAAGAAAGTTGTTAACAAACAAGTGACGATTATAAAACTGCCAAGTTAAACTACGACATGAATTCAAAGTGAATACATGCTTCTGCTTAACGATATCAATGACGGGGATAATAGATTTAAAAAAATCAAGATTTTATAGCGCGAACCCTAATGTCGCTAAAGCCTTGTTCGGACTAGGCGAGTATTTTAGTCGAGTACCGAGTAATTTAGTGGCTAAACTACTCGCTACTCGCCCGAAAAATAGAACAAAATGGATTGACTTGACTAAATTATTTACTTACCTGCTCGACTAAATGTTTGGTGTTCAGACACATTTAGCTACTAGATTACTCGGTACTCGGCTAAAATACTCGCCTAGTCCGAACAAGGCTTAACTAGTCAAAAACAGTTTAGTCTTAAAATCCTAAGACAGGCAAGGTTGCCATTAACGTTCTAAGTCTGATTATGTAAAAATTGTAAGAAAAGTTTACGGATAACGAAAATATTTTTTTTTTGTTTGTTTTTTTTACTGTAGCCACTAATATTGTCCTAAAATCTAATTTTTTAGACGGTACTTAGCATAACATTCAAATGACCACGTATGACGTACTTAAAGTATTCGAAACGAAGGAAATAATTTAACACCGACAGGAGAAGACTTATTTAACTGCTTCCTTTCAATACTTAGGGTCTGACCACAGCCGAAATCTTCGTTCATCTCACAATCTTCTTCTTCGCTGTCCTCCACATAGTTCTGACTTTTTACATTCTTCATTAACTATTCAGTCTATTCTTCTATGGAATGCGCTCCCACTCACAATAAGGTCGGCCACTACACGTGAAGCGTTTAAGACGAAGGTTCGAGAACTGTTTCTCAGAGAGTTAGCAGAGTCATCTAATTGATAATATTTGTTTATATGTGTTTTTATATGTATATATTTATGTATGTTATATAAACACATATGTTTAAGTAATATCACCTTCACACTACACCTACCAAGCTTCATCTCTGCACTCCCCTAAGCTAGACTGTTAGAGAATGCCTATGGCATTAAGTCCGCCTTTATACTTTCTAGTATATGATGTTATAAATAAAAATTAAATAAAAAAGAAGACGAAGATAATAATATCATAGTAATAAAAATATTCTGAACTGCATATAGATGTAAACAAATAGCTGTTAAGAGGTCAATTGGGCAGTTTGATAAAAGAAAAAGAAACTTTCGTATCTTGAACCGAATAGCGGGTCAGAATCGAAGCGATAGCTGAAGCGGAGTTAACTAGTAATAAACTTGAATTCTATCAACGTACCAACGTCCGTATGATATTGTTTTATTGGTTTTTATATGCAACACACTACAGTCATTAACTTGCAGCTGAATGTGTATTTGTAAATATAATTTTCGCTTCTTTTTTTTTAAATCTAAAACGTTGTCATTCTATTGTTTACTAGCTGACCCGGCAGACTTCGTAGTGCCCCAACCGATAAATAAAAGACCGACCGGTGGGGGGGGGGAATGTTTGATGCATCATTTGAGCTGCCAGTTCATTCGGATAATTAATAAACTTTTGTCTATAGGTAACTGCCGTGCTTTCTGTCTAACGCGGTTTGAAGGGTAGGTCTGCCGTAATATAATACAATGGCTATGTGTTCACCTTCAGGGTAAAGGGATGCCAGGTACATTTTTTTTTTACAACAGAATAAATAAATAAAAACTTTACCCTAGAAATCCACCGGCTTAACATATTGTGCCCTTCAAAATATATATCGCTTAACCAAATTGAATTTTACGATTTAATATCGCAGTCTTTTTTTACTGTTTGTACTGTATTTATGGATTACTTTAATACGAAGTAAGTATTAAAGTAGTAATTCATATAGTATTCAACAAAAATAAATAATTTAGTTGTAATATAAATAAATATATTATAACTAATATAGTTTTCGTGTACAGAGTACGACTAAGCCGTTCTACATCGACATTTGAATAATGCGCTATATGAGTCGTCTATTATCAAAGGCGGCAATATGTGCATTTGGACAAAAAAAAATTATTGAAATGTCATATCAGATTGATTTGAATATAATCGTCTCCTTCAAAGAATACGGTTCAAAACCTGTATTAAATAAAGGTTAATAGTTAACCTGTTATTTATCTAAGATGTCGTTCCGAAGAGTTTTGTGACTGCCAATGGAGTACAAAGTCAATAATTCGTTTTTCTGATTTACCAATCATTGTCCAAAAGTCAGATTGCCGGCTTTGATAATAGTCGACTCATATACAGTTTATTTTTACATAAAAAAAAGAAGAGATTGAACGGTAAAAATAGTTTTAATTATGTCTACAACTCGCGAAGATCGAAGAAAATACTAATTCACTTTTCTCGTCCCTTTATATATGAATGTATATACTATTGTATATAAAATATGTACTTCATTAGAGCAGATTTACAAAATGTAATAATGAAAACCGGCTCGGACTGCATTGAATAGCCTAGATAACTGTTGTACATTGAATTTGTGAAATGTTCAAAGGTCATATGTTAAGAGATTATCATAGGCGCAGTGAAAACTAGTTTGAACCGATCATTATAATTAGAAAATCATTATAGCAACATTGTCGTTACAACAAACACGTTATGCAATAACTAATCAAGCATTTGCAAAATTAACAATAATAATAAACATAGGCGATTATTCCAACTAGTTTTGTTAAAATTGTTTGTGCATTGAAACTTGAGTTTAGATATGACCTAATAACTTGATTTTTCATATAAAACTGCCACTAAGCTGGCCTATGGTTTACGTGATAAAGAACCTACTGCTACTACCAGTACGTACCAGACATCTTGGAAGTTCACACGATTAAGTACTACCACCCTGTCGATTTCTGCCGTGAAGCAGTAATGCGTTTCGGTTTGAAGTATGGGGCAGCTGTTGTACTGTTAAATCTGAGACTTTAGAACTCATGCCACAGGTGGATGACGAAATTTACTTTGCTGATGTCTATGAGCTCCGGTAACCATTCAACAGGTAGGCGGTGAGCTCATCCACCCATCAAAGCAATAAAAAATAAATCTGTCAGGTGAATTTAATCACATTATAGAACTGAATTACAAAGCAATCATTAATTACATGTGAATGTTGCCAAACACTCCGTCAAACCATTTTTGAACTATTATATGGACCGTTTATTTTGAAAGTGGTGTAAGTCCATTTTCTTTTGTTTCGAGAAAATTAAAGGTTACTATATTTGTTGATTTAAAAATACAGGCAAATCATATGAGGTCTGGCTATGCCACCTACCTCTGTCAATTGGACTTACACCACTTTCATAGTCGATGATTATGCAATTTCATTTACCGACCGATTTTAAGTTGTACAAAACATGGGATTTTTTTGAGAAATTAAACACGTACTAGTTATATATAAAAATTTTACATTAAATTAAGCATGAATTACGTGATAGCTCATTTTTCTCAAAAACGGACTTACACCACTTTCAAAATAAACGGTCCATATTTTTGTTTACCAACAAAGGGTTACACATAGTACAATTATTTTTAAAAGAGTAATAAAAACGTTTTGGTTTTGAAAGGGTTTTGAAAAGGTACACACTGTATATATACCCTATCAAATACAGGAAACACAGTGTTCACAGAAACATTATGCTTACAATGGTTAAAGATAAGAATACCTCAAGGAAAGCATGAAAAAAAATGTATAGTTCATCTAAAACATGTATCTAATTTAAAAAAAAACAAGGTTACCCTCAAAAAACAACAGATAATGTATCAATATTGTCAACTTACGTAATACCAGGAGTTAGTCTAACTGGAAATTTCTCAATGAATTCTCTGATCTGACCGACGTTAGGCCTGATGATGTCCAGTCTCTTCTTCAACGCTTCCTGGAATGTCATATTGCCGCCCATTGCTTCCGCCGTCCTGTTCAAAATTTAATTGAGTATTAGTGACACAGCAATGGAACTTAATATTATTTAGATTAAAAACGATAAAATTCTCGATTAGTCTATACCTGAAATTGTAAGTCATATTTAGCCGAGACTGAGTTACAATTTTATTTCTTCCACCTATAGAAATGATCTGCACGATAAGAAAAGACATAAACCATCAAAAAACTGGTAACACTGCAAATCAACTCTCTTGAGCTTTTCCAAGAATCTTAATAATTTAAAAAACGCATTATCAGGATGTTTCCGAAATACTTTTGTAATTAATTTGGTTCGCGTCTATTGCCATATTTTTAACATGAAAAAGAAACATCTCGCTATCTCTGTCACACGCCCGCATCATAACGTTGCAATATTGAAACCTTATTATTATTATTTAAGCAGTCGATTCAAAAGGTCTCTGAACTGAATCCTTAATATAGAAATTTGGATTGGTAATGTTGTTGCAGTTTTCAATTTTTGATACTTGATACTGAGACCTTAGAACTTATATCTCAAGGTGGGTGGCGCATTTACATTGGAGATGTCTATGGGCTCCATTAACCACTTAACACCAGGTGGGCTGTGAGCTCGTCCACCCATCTAAACAATAAAAAAAACAAAACAAAAAAAAACTTATAAAATTTTACGAAAGTAAAAATTTTAAGCAAATCAATCAATCAAATCGATCAATATTAGCAGCAGAATAAAAGAAAAAAATATTTATACAGTCTATAAACTTTTTACAGCGTATTTAACATGATAAGGAATTACAAGTAATCATGTATCTTCTAAATGTTTTTTTTTAAAGGTCGTTCGGTACGCAATGACTTTTTAATGAAACATGATAAAAAAATTAATTTATCTATCTGTTACCAATTAAAATGATAACGTGAAAGGTAGAGGTCAGAATCGATTTTGCAATATAATTGTTTTACAGGTATGGATGATAACAAAAATATATTATTTTTTAACCAATACCTATCGTTCGAGCATTTCATGTATCTATCTTTTAGCCCACAGAGGTCCACGGCTGGACATAGGCCTCCCCCAAGCCTCGTCCCAACGACCACAGCATTACATACAAAGGACTAAGTTTAACTAAATCATTTTCCGCAATATTAACGAGACTAGTATCACTAATGTTTAGACCGCGTTTTCCCCCTTTCGGTCAAGTACGATGCGATTTCAGCACGATAGCCTATTCTTAGATTAGGCCACGTTCAAAAATAAAGTCGTATGCGATTTTAAACGCCTATAATTAGATTAATTTTTTTCTTAATTTGCCTCACTACGATGACACAGAGCGGAAATTTATTTAATGCTTCCAATTCAATTACTTACATTATTATTTTAATTACAAGATGTTAAATGCATGAGCAACTGTCGGACACACGTACCAAATGAAAATTATTACCTACATTTATTCGTTCAAGCGCTTTTAACAGCATGAACATTATCTATCTATAAACCTAACGGAATCTTTCCATGTAATTTTTCAAAACTTAAATGTGCGATTATAATAAAAATTGCAAACATGTCATGGACCTAAGAAACTAAAATTATCAGGAACAGCAGAATAAAAAATATTATGCTATATGCTATTTTGTATTTTTTAGATTATTTGAGATATTATATAGATGCTATATAGTATTTTTTTAGCTTTTAAATTATCAATATTTCATTCTAAATTCATGAAGGTCAGGGATTATAACAATAATATTAGTAAGACGATATTTTCCGTTTATTTTTTATTCTTAATCAAATTCCATTCTCAATTTTTTCAATACTTATAGGATATTATAATTGCGATAACCAATTCTAGAAATTTCTTTACGAATAATATCCCGATGCCTTTAAAACAAACTAATAAATAAATAATGTAGGTGTAATGTATATTCAAACACAAACATGACGAAATATCTCGGTCAAACTAATAATTATCAATCCTGCTATTTATAAATTCGAATATAGGACAACCTAAGAATAGTTAAACCTTGTTTTGTCGCTTTTGATCGCTAAGGCAAAGCGTAGTCTTTTTTATCTTCTGCAATTGAAGTAGCAAGCCGACAAAATTATCGATATTCATCGATGTTTTTAAGTCGCTAAAGCCTTGTTCGGACTAGGCGAGTATTTTAGTCGAGTACCGAATAATTTAGTGGATAAACTACTCGCTACTCGCCCGAAAAAATAGAACAAAATGGATTGACTTGACTAAATTATCTACTAACCTACTCGACTAAATTTTTGGTGCTCAGACACATTTAGCAACTAAATTACTCGGTACTCGACTAAAATACTCGCCTAGTCCGAACAAGGCTTAAGAGCTCTAAAACAGTGATTCTCAACTAATGAGCCGCGCAACTTTTTGAGCCGCCAAATTTTAAAAATATTTATATTTTCATCTTTAAATTGTGCATCATTTACATAAGACTTAAGAATGTTTAACTATTTTTTTTCTTTGGGTGCCGTCAAATTTTGAAATCGCTAAAAGGGTCCCCCGACAAAAAAAAAAACGTTTGAAACTCACTACTCCGCGATATCGATGGAATAAAAAGAATATTCTTTATTATTATTATATGATGTCCATGGAATTAAAATTACATAATTTGATTTATTCTTACATCCTAACATTGAGTTCCTCACACAAAATACATGACGATATTATATTTTAATTTCTAAATAAATTAGATTATTTCGTGCTTATAATATAAATATGTAAACATTACTCGAATCACATGTCACACGAACGTGACACAAACAGGTCCTGTGTGTTTGTCATCCGCCATAACCACTATTAACCACACCGATATTTATAATGTATTTGTAAACATGCTGGATTTATAATGTACAAGCGGCCCGCTCCGGCTTCGTTCGGGTCTTTAACAAAAAATTCAACGATATTTAATTTTGACGTTGTTTTATGTTTTTTAAATAAAAGAACACTTATTGCGGCATAACTATCATAGTTAGACATATGCTGTCGCGACACTTTTTGTAAATAATAATGTGTTCTACAAAGTCGTAGTACATTATTTTATTCTATCATCAATAGTTTTCGCAGGGCACACGATGTAAAGAATATTTTTTTCACACCTTGGATGACATTATTGGAGTTTTAGTAGGGTTCCTTAATTTTTTTCAAAAAATTATAGGCTGTGTAACTCGGGAATAGTGTAGCTTTCAAACAATGAAAGAATTTTTCAAATCAGTTCAGTAGTTTCGGAGCCTATTCAATACAAACAAACAAACAAATCTTTCCTCTTTATAATATTTGTATAGATGTATAGATAATATAGATTGATTTTCACCGGCAATCAACCTAGCGTGTTTAGAAACTAAAATAATTTTAAACTAATTTCTAGTTAAGTTAGAGAATGAAGTTTTCATAACATTATGGATTTTTCATATTTTCATATATGTTATATTACACTTTTCTTGTCATACTTCTTCTATCCACACATTGGTCTACAAAATATTTAGAGACGTTAGCGGTAAAATCTTCTACCGTTATTTAATTATCGTATTATTAATTTTTGGTAGTCTAAGGGACTATTCCAACTACTCAAAAACCGGTAGGTGAACTCACGAGATCTAAGAGAGTTTGTTAACAATCCTAGCAAGAGCAGTGCTTTGTTGAATCTAACACCGGATCGGTATCGTGACCCACTGAGAAGATCCGACGAAAACTCAGCGGGCTGATGTATGGGTTAAGTTGTACGTCGAACACTTTGGCAAGTTCGACGAGTACGGTTACCAGGGGTCCCTAAGTCTGCCCCTAGTGCTAGAGCTGAGGGCGTCTAATGATAAAGTTAGTGGATCTGATTGATATGGCTATGAACTCTGCAGTATGCGAGTGTACTAGTATCGTTTTCAATGTGCTAGATAGGCAGACGATATCACGGCAATTAACTTGGAAATCTGAGTGGAGATCCACTTTAAGACACCTTTGTTAAGGTCTCAATCGTATATCGGCTGCCCGGTCCTTCAAAGAGCTCATGGGCACTCATTTGCATAATGAAAAAAGAAATACTCACAGTCTTTTAACCTCGTCTCCTTTCCCGCAGAACTTGGCCAGTTCATCGATGCCTTCATCTTGTATGACGGTCGAGTCTACATCGAAGCAAACGCAGTCCGCTGTCCTGAACAACTCCTGGACAGTCTGTTGAGGCGACATCACGCTGATCGACACCAGTGAGAGCGTCTTCAACGTCGCGTACTGCAGGTTGCTTTTCAAACTGCAACGGTGGGCATTAAATCAGGACCGTGACTAGGCAAAACTTCCCTTGTTCCCACACAATAAAGCTTATATTTCTTTAGTAGATTACGTCAAACCGGCTGCCAAAGTTTAGCGAGAGCGTTAAACGTCAATAGAAGCGAAACGTTACAGTAGTACTCTTGATAACAATCAGTGTATCCGATTTATAAACGAATACGATAAAATATTTTATTAAATATTTAGTATCTATAATTTATCAATATAGATACCGATATTGATATTATCAGCTGCAGTAAAAATGATTACTCGATAAATATCAAACAAATCCTCCCACCTCTAAAAATTTGTCACACAAAATGAGAGCTACTCACATGCTATATGCTTCTCAAAGACTTTAGCGTATACTAAATGCGTTCCTTTTATACGTGAATATTGCCGACCGCAACATAATATGGGTAAAACGTGTGCATAATTCCAAATGACTCCAATAATAGTGCAGTAAACGAGAACAGTGCTTATGTTTCCTCACCGCATTTACGAGTATCTGTTTTTTTAAAAAGAATTTTTTTTTCGTATTGCTTAGTAATATTATGTGCGTGAAATTTAGATCACAAATACAATAATAGCCTATACCTTTAAACGAGCAATTCTTGTATATATATATCGACGCTTGAAAGGCAACCGTGACTAAGCGACAATAACTGCTTTGTACATAAATGATAGGCAATAACCATATTCGATGCGCAAAAAAATATATATTTCTAGGTCTATTAAAATCATTTCAATCCTACACCTCGATTCGTTAAAATATAATTTTTTTCAGATATTTCAACTTTCAATTAGTCTACTGTAAAGTTCACACATTGTCGCTTAGTCACGTTTGCCTTTTAAGCGTCGATATATATAATCTGAATCTCATAAACGGCTCCAACGATTTTCAATTTAGTATACAGGGGATTTCGGGGACGATAAATCGATCTAGCTACGATTTATTTTCAGAAAATGTTGTCTTATTCGTGTTTTCAATAATCAACTCTTCCCGACATCTATTGGCGAATAATAATACTATTTTTCTTAATTGACGGCAACTAACCGCTTTAAAGACACACCAAGATGGCGTTATCAAAAAAAACCGAGCTCGGACATCATCTAGTTATCATTAAATCTTTTATCTTTGTGCTAATTTAAAAGTGTAATACAATTTGAAAGCTATTTAGATACAAAAATTTGTACTGTCGGGGGAATCACTTCGAATACAGGAATTTTTAGTTCACCAATAATCGCGTACTTATCTTTTTTTACATTTACGTAATTTGCTTGCGATTATTTAATTTTCATGTACGATTATATACCTACTCAGTTTTACCTACTTCTATAAAAAAAAAAACTAAAGTGATTCAAAAGTACAGAATTCTATTTGATTTAGAAATTTCGTCTTTATTATGATCGATGTAAGATCGAGATTTATAAATTTAAGTTTTATACTACATAAAGTCTACATGGTTTTTCGTTACGTGACGATTTCTATCAGTCAATCAGTACTGCAAGTTTCGTTTTTTTTTTTAATTAACCTAAACTGATGGTCTTGAGAGACCATTTCAGCGTAACCGGGCGAGTAAGTGAGATCAGGGGGCTCAAACCTGACGCTGTTGCTAACACGAACCCTAGCAAGAGCCTTGCTTCGCAAAATCTCCCATCGGATCAGGAACGCGACCCACTGAGAAGATCCGGCGAGAAACTCAGTGGGCTGTGTCTGTGGGTTAATTTACTCGCCGAGCCCTTCGTCGCAGGCGAAGGATTCGACGAGAACGATGACCGAAATTTCGTTAAGGATCTTCGTCCAAAACAGATTAAGTTGCTCAACTTGCTAACTTAGTCGTTCCCCTAATTCCTATCCAAGGTCTATCATTCCCAGGAAATATCTAGCCGTAAATACGTAAGTAAAACACGTGAATGCTGTTGAAGTTTGACGTAAGAAGTGGAGATCCAATAATTTTGACACATCCGCTTAATTAACCTCAAAATTGAATTGTGTATTGCTTCGCGAGGCTTCACCTCAAACATAGGGAAGCCCGGCCGCAACACGCGTGCGGGCTGGCAACATGCCACCAGGCTTCGACCTCATGTCTCAAGGTGGGTGACTTTCACATTGTGAGACACGTTCAACTATAATATAAATAATTAAAAACAAAACCTCAACGAAGCCGAGATGGCGATATACAATTCAGTAAGATCGTCTAAAGTCAGAGAAGAAATTAAATTTGTTTTCACTCACGCTAGCCAGAAGTGATTGTTGGGTAGGTATATCGTATAGCCAATAAAATATTGATACGATGCATGGAAGTACATTAACTATAATAAATAGCAAATTAAGCAAATCTTTTATGCAATAAAAGCAGATAATGAATGTATTCAAGAGTTGGAATTTTAAAATAACATAGAACATCAAGCACAGTATGAATTTAAAATAAAAAAAAATATGCCCCCTAAGTATAGTTTTAATTACTTGCATTCCGTTGAGTTTATAAGAAATATATTAATATAAGTTAGTATTAAGGTAATGTACCCATAAAAAATACACCGCGAGGCGAATACTTTATATACTCTCTGGTCCAAAAACAATATAATATTTCCTGTAATAATCTATATAATTTCTAATATTATTTATCTACACATTCAAGACTTAATTTACGACCAGAGATTGAGTCAAAAACGCTAAAAAGCTATACAAAACATTCAGAAATACACTGGAAATGATTCTGAGTAAAATTTCTTTAAAGCATTTTATCGCAAAAGCCTTAAAACCACAAATTCTAAAAAAAATATACTTTAGAAAAAAAACAAATCGACGATCCTAAAAAAAGGAATACGGCAAACCAGTTCAGCGGCTTTAACCAAAATTATGTTTCTTGTTTTAGGGTACCCGGATTTCGAATTAAGTAATTAATTATTTCGATGCTGTCTTTAGTTTTAAATTTGGCTATTTATTTACCTAGAAAATACCTCATGAACCCATAATAATGTGTACTTGGATATAAGTAATATTTAAAACCGCTTTTTTTTGCTATTTCAGAACATCATCTCAATATTTAAATACTGTCAGTTGAATGAAAAAAAAATTAAATTGTGACTCTTCTAATTTTACTGTCTACGTAAAAAAAAAAACCTTTTTTAACCGCGAAATATTTATGATAATGTCTGAGACCTAAGCGTAGTAAGTTATTATTGACATTTCATTCGTTCACGTGTCAATCTAATGGCCAAGAAAAAGTAGACGCCGTGTGAACGCCCTATAGATTGATAATAGCTAAACATACATGGTAATGCACTGGTTTTAATTCAAGAACTTTCACTCCGCACGAGCAAATATTTAACAAAACTTTAGATCTCATCACATGCATGCAGTCAGAATAAACGGTAATAAATAAATAAAAACAAATTCACTTTTTAAATAGACAAAAAGCATGCATGGATCCCTAACAAATATATTACGCCTAGATACCTGTAAAGAGCCATCTCTGTTGCTTCTTCTCCGAGTAACGAAACTATTATGATCGAATTCACTTCAATCTTATTTACTGATTGCGGTATTACTTATCTTTCGTAAAGGTTACGAGTGTAATAATGAAAGACCCACTTTGCGGGAAATACGACGAACACGCCTCCGTCGAATGTGATATCACACGGTACAGTAAACTCATGCCGGTTTTATCGCCTTATATCCACAACACTCCTCGAGATAAGTTATGATGCGAGCTACAAAACTACTATCTGAGAGCTACGTACTATGAATGACGTCACCGCGCCGTCTTCATTAAAAGACATGCTGCCAGACACGAGCCATACTCGAAGCAGGAATAACGAAACGATAGCCGTCTCGCTCGAACGCGATAGAAGCGTATGGAATATTTTGTGGACGCTCTTGTTTTGCTAATTGCGTTAAGAGCGAAACAGATAAACAAGCCGTCCTTTGATAAAAATGTTTTCTTTAAAAAAAATGTAACAGTGTCAATGGGGAAATGTCCCTGCGCAACAGATGATAAGAATAATATTTACGTTCGATGTTAATCCTCTATAGATCTCATGCAAAAACAACAACAACCTATTTCATTTTACAAGTAATTTAATTTTGTGCACTGTAATTCGCACGTTATACAACAAAATTCCAATAAAAATTCAGAAAAATGCTAACAGACAAACTAGAACACTTCATTTTATTATCACTGTTAAAACTTACAATAAATGAAAAGTCGGTTCGTACCTGTGCAAGTGCAATAAGGATCGATATGATACGATAATTACCGATCTAAACACGCGTGATATTATCAAAGCACCATGCCAGCAACTACACACCACAGCGAAACAATAAGGGAATAATAATTTATTACAAGGTTACCTTGTTATTGCGATTGGAAGGCCACTAGTGTCATTCATTCATTGTTAATTATTTACTGTCTATACCAGCTGTATCAATAAAGATTGTCTGTTAAATAAGAACACTCTTTACTTGCACGGTGCACCATTGTTTGTTAATGTTCAATAAAAATGGGTGTAGACTTTAAATTCTTCATCTTTTGTAAAGAATTGTGTGGAATTAGGATTTTAAATTTCGAATAACTCATAAAGCACAGATTAGGCGAATCAGGAGTAATAATATTAAAGATTATTTGAATTTAGTGTCTAAATAAAACAATAAGATAATCCTAGATACTGATTAGTTATAACAACTAGATTACGTCAACTTTTGACAACGGTATTTTTTTCTTTTGCCTATCACATTGAAGCATTTTTAACGATTAGAACCTCTGATTAGAACAGACCAATTTCCTATGCCATTTATGGAATGAAAACTTTAAAACATTGTGTCTCAGTCAGCTGCGAAGCACGACTGGAATATACCGTATATAATATAAACTTTATACAACGCGATTACTAAAGAAACTAGTAGAAAAAGGTCAAGGTCAGTACTCTGTACCAGTGTACCAGCGTCATGATAGCATCTGATGTAGGATGCTAAGATCCTCTGACATTGAGGGATCCCGCATTTAGTTCACTTTTAGCTACATAGATTCTAAGTATTAGAAAATATTAAAATTAGTAATATTTAAATAATTTTGCTTCTTGTTTTTATGTGTCTGCTTGGCAATACAGCTATCCGAATATCTAATAATTATGGAATTGCTTTTAGAAACTGCTATTATTTTAAACCCGATACAAATTTACACACTTATGACTAAGAAATAAAAGGATCCCTCGAATTAAAAACCTTTCTGCCTATTTCTGTCGTGAAGCAGTAATTCGTCTCCGTTTGAAGTTTGGGGCAGCCGTTACAGAGACCTAATTAGAACTTATATCTCGAGGTAGGTGGCAGCATTTATATTGTAGATAGCTGACCCAGCAGACTTCGTAGTGCCTCAATCGATAAATAAAAGACCTAAACTTTTGTATAAAATAAACTTAAAACAAACAAAAGGAATCCGTCCGACGGGGGACACATCAAAGGGAACACAAAATTGTTATTTTTATTTAATTCCGAGCATTTTCATATCTATCTACCTTTTAAACCTTCTCTGGACTTCTACAAATAATTCAAGACCAAAATTAGCCAAATCGGTCGAGCCGTTCTCGAGTTTTAGCGAGACTAACGAACAGCAATTCATTTTTATATAACTAGTCAGGTCATAAGTATTGTCACACAGTAAAAACTTTTCTTTTAGAATGCTGGCCACAAAAAAGTTTATTGAATTCGAATTTCGAATTGTTCATGAAAATAAAAATGTATACTTTTTAGAATTTTACTCATTTTTAAATATGGAGTGGACGCTTAAAGAAGACCGTGTTGCAGTTATTGCGTTGCATCGTTGCGGTTACGCGCCAATTCAAATTTTTAACATACTGAAAAATTTGAATATAACCAAAAGATTCGTTTATCGTACCATCAAACGATACAATGAAGACTCTAGTGTAGATGACAGGTCAAGAAGTGGTCGCCCTCGGTCTGTTAGGACTCCAGCAGTGATAAAAGCTGTGAAGGCGCGAATTCAAAGAAATCCCAAACGTAAGCAGAAACTGTTGGCCCTTCAGATGGGGTTAAGCAGAACCACGGTGAAAAGGGTGTTAAATGAAGACTTAGGGCTTCGGGCATATCGAAGAAAAACAGGACATCGTTTGAATGCTCGTCTAATGGACCTGAGACTGAAGAGATGCCGCGCTTTGTTGAAGCGGTACGCGGGAAAAAAATATCGGGAAATTCTTTTTTCGGATGAAAAAATTTTTACCGTAGAAGAGAGCTACAACAAACAAAATGATAAGGTGTACGCACACAGTAGTGAAGAAGCGAGCAACCGTATTCCGCGTGTCCAACGAGGTCATTTTCCATCCTCGCTCATGGTATGGTTGGGAGTTTCTTATTGGGGCTTAACAGAGGTACATTTTTGTGAGAAAGGTGTAAAAACGAATGCAGTTGTGTATCAAAATACAGTCCTGACGAACCTTGTGGAACCTGTTTCTCATACCATGTTCAATAACAGGCACTGGGTATTCCAACAAGATTCGGCGCCAGCTCATAGAGCGAAGAGCACACAAGACTGGCTGGCGGCGCGTGAAATCGACTTCATCCGGCACGAAGACTGGCCCTCCTCCAGTCCAGATTTGAATCCGTTAGATTACAAGATATGGCAACACTTGGAGGAAAAGGCGTGCTCAAAGCCTCATCCCAATTTGGAGTCACTCAAGACATCCTTGATTAAGGCAGCCGCCGATATTGACATGGACCTCGTTCGTGCTGCGATAGACGACTGGCCGCGCAGATTGAAGGCCTGTATTCAAAATCACGGAGGTCATTTTAAATAAACTTTAGTGTCATAAGAATCTATGTTTTGTTAAGTTCATTTTGGTATATGAATGGTTACATAATGAATAAACTTGTTTCAATTATTTTACATTAAACATGTGACAGAATTTATGACCTGACTAGGTATATATAGATGTCTATGGGCTCCGGTAACCACTTAACATCAGGTGGGCCGTGAGTTCGTCCACCCGCCTAAGCAATAAAAAATACAAATCAATATGCTATCCCGCGATTGTGGTGAATTCTGTTTTTCGTTTCCAGACTAATCTTAAAGCGACACAAACAATAAACCCCAACGTTCTCTGTCAAAAATGATATCAAAGCACGAAAAAAATAATTACAAAATATGTACATACAATTCGGAGATTGTAACAAAATCAATTGATTGCAGTACCTAATGAAAAGTGAACTCACGGGGTTATCGTTTTTATTACATATATGTACATGTTTTTAACGCATGGCTCTTGACTGTTAGTGTAAATATTATGTATTGTTATTTTGACGTTAGCAACATTAATCATATTTTTATGTGTGGCGTGTTTTGATCCATCTGAGGTCTCATAGTAAGGAATAAGACACCCCTCTGTACTCGCATTAAGGGTTCAAATTTTGGGAAAAGGTATATTTTCTTGACAAATACGTACCTTATGCGTATATACGTTCGCGAAAGCGTTTGAAATTAAAGAGAATAAGATTGTGTGATTAAAATCAAGCCTACTTAAATTACCAATTTTGTTTGTACTACATAATAATATTAATATTATGTATTTAGTTACAATACGATTATAAATCCACACGGGCTTGTGGTTAGTTTGAAATAGGAGGGTTTTTTACAGTCTGGAAGATATTACCGGATATCCGGTTATTTTCTGTGGGCAGGGGTAGGGCAGGGTGAGTTATATTAGATTCGAAAGTGGAATGAGGCCGCTTATTTACATCGGCAATGCTAAGGACACAGCTGCTTGTATTCTTATGTCACAATAACTTTACTGGGGATGATGATGAGATGAGTGAAATCAGCAAATGTAGCCACATTAATGGAAATATTTTTCAAATCCCACTTTTCCACTTCCTTCATGATAGATAGTCGTTCTACTAATCAATTCCTCGTCTGATTTCCTGTCAGTATCACATCCATACAAGCGTAAATTGTTTTATAAAGTGATTAATTAAAGTTGTATTTCTAAGTTACTTTACCTAACTTCTTGCGCGTAATTTTGTTTTAGGGTTTTAAATCAACAAATTTTAAATTTAAATTTAGTGAGTGACTTTCCATCATTATCGTACGATAGTGATAAAATTACTGTAGTTCAAGGTTATTTATTACATCTGCGATATCAAATTTTATCAGTACATTCATATACGGCTTAGATTCCTCAATAGATACGATGTATCCAAACAGCATTTGTATTAAAATTGTAGTATCTAGTGTACATTAGGTATATAATAAACAGAAATATTAATAATTATGTACTGTTTATAATTAAGAGAGCCTATGGCTGTACCTTATATATAAGCTACCCATTCTCTAAAAATCACCCACATAACTGTAAAACTATTGTTATAAACTCGACACTAGCAACAATGGTATAGTAAGAAGCTGATAGCATTTCTTGAAAAAAAAAGAACAAAGAGGGTCATCATTTTAAAACTAAAAATTAGGTTGGATGGGCTAAGACCCATTTGCCTGTCCGAGTGGACAACAAAAATAAATTTTATTTCGTGGTCGCAGAAAAGGCGCGAATTTCTAATATTTTAACTAAATAGAAGGGTTGTTTTTTATGAAGAAAATACGTAAGGAATAAAGTGTTAAACATGAACGTAGTACACAGGGAAATAACAACTGGTAAAAACAAAACACGAACCAACTTTACAGCAGATTTTGCAAGAAGAGACGCATCTTTGGGTTAGCACTTTTATTTTTTTTTGTTGATCTGCTATCGAAACCAAGATGGTGAAATAAAGTTTTAGATTGACTGTAAAATAGAATCGCAACGAAACATAATGCCATACTGAAAAAAGATGAAGGTAAAGATACCGCCTTACATAAAAAAACACATTAGAACGTATTCATTCGCGGACACCTAAATTATCGATTCTATTTTTCGACACGTTTTTATCCTTTTTTTATAATACTGCGTCTATAGCTGCAGTAATTAATAAATGAAACTTATGAAACTCAATCTATCTTATGGTGAATAAGTTCGTTCTGTCTATTACTTGTTCAGTGAGGGCAAAAAGAAATCCATAGAAAAATAGAGGAGAAGGCTAAACAGATTTTTCTATCTGCGATTCATGACCCTTGCGACAGGGCTGAAATATCGAGTATCCTATAAATATCCGCAGTATAAACGGTCGACTTGGATAAAATACATGAGGTAGTAGTTACATAGTTTAGTTTTAACAATGCCGTGTCAGATGCGTTAGTCAATAGGGCCCGCGTGGACCGGCTCACACTCGGAATCCTTTTTAACACGGAATATTTTCCGTTCTTTTGCATATTTGTTCTCTGTGTATCTGTTTTGAAACCGCGTCGAAAACTATTCTAATTCTTAAGGTGTCTAGGTTTAACTGAGAAATTGTATTAAATACAATCGAAAGTCTCAACATTAAATAATAAAGTGATACCTATAATTCTAGTAGGTACCTACGATTGTAAAAACACTCTGTCTGCCTCTAGTCTTTCTTGAATCCTGTAAGTTTATTTTTAATTCCGTGTGACCATTGCGCTAAGACGGAAACTTCACACTTTAACCTTTATTAGTAGATAACAAGCACATTTTGTAGGTATACGCGGTACTTCCCTACTGCCAGTGTCCTCATACTGTCGTGCAAGCAAAAATACGATGAAAGGTCCTAGGTATCAATTCGATGCTACCGTGAAAACTTCAACCAAACGGTCATCTATGGGACCTCCTTCAAGGCCTCCGCCTAGTTCCAAAAAAAGGTACCTTAACATTATTGATTATGCCATTTGACAAATTCTAAAAGCGATCTATAGAAAAAAAGCCAGATTACATATTAATATTTTTATCTATAATTAATTATAAAACTACAATATTTTTTTTATCCTAATATTATAAATTATAATACTATGGTATTAATGTGAAAGTGTGTTTGTTTATTTGTTCTTCTTTCACGTCGAAGCGAAGCAACAGATTGATATAATCTTCAAAGTGATCGCTGTAGGAAAGTGCCATAGGCGTACGTTATTAATCTCCAATAAACTTTCATTTCTACGAGAAACTGTTTTAGTATCTCTAAAAAAAACACGTGACACTTCAGAAAAAAGTAATTGAGACTACGCGGGCGAAGTCGAGAATAACAGCTAGCAAGAAATAAAAAAGATCTTCCAAATTGTCATAAAATAAAGTGTAGCCGATAATTTTTATGAGAACGACATCAGTTAACCGGAGAACATTTACCAGATCAAATCTAAAAAGAAAAAGAAGGGCAGTTAATAAAAACTAGTGGTCGCCTAGTGGTCGAAATTCGACCATAATTAATTTAAAATATGAGTTTTTTTTTTTTTTTATTGCTTAGATGTGTGGACGAGCTCACAGCCCACCTGGTGTTAAGTGGTTACTGGAGCCCATAGACATCTACAACGTAAATGCGCCACACACCTTGAGATATAGTTCGAAGGTCTCAGTATAGTCAACGGCTGCCCCACCCTTCAAACCGAAACGCATAACTGCTTCACGGCAGAAATAGGCGGGGCGGTGGTACCTACCCGTGCGGACTCCCAAGAGGTCCTACCACCAGTAATTACGCAAATTATAATTTTGCGGGTTTGATTTTTATTGCACGATGTTATTCCTTCACCGTGGAAGTCAATCGTGAACATTTGTTGAGTACGTATTTCATTAGAAAAATTGGTACCCGCCAGCGAGANTTTGTATTCCATTGGCAGTCACAAAACTCTTCGGAACGACATCTTAGATAAATAACAGGTTAACTATTAACCTTTATTTAATGCAGGTTTTGAACCGTATTCTTTGAAGGAGACGATTATATTCAAATAAATCTGTATTGACATATCAATAAAAAATTTTTGTCCAAATGTACAGATTGCCACCTTTGATAATAGACGACTCATTTGACAAATTCTAAAAGCGCTCTATAGAAAAAAAACATTCGCCATGCTACCTATTTATATTTTTATAGTAGCCATATAATTAATTATAAAAACTACAATATCTATTTATCCATACTAATATTATTAATGTGAAAGTGTGTTTGTTTATTTGTTCTTATTTCACGTCGAAACGAAGCAACAGATTGATATAATCTTCAAAGCGATCGCTGTAGGAAAGTGCCATAGGCTTAAGTTAATCTCCAATAAACTTTCATTTCCACGAGAAGCTGTTTTATTATCTCTAAAAAAAACACGTGACACTTCAGAAAAAAGTAATTGAGACTACGCGGGCGAAATCGAGAATAATAGCTAGTAAGAAATAAAAAAGATCTTCCAAATTGTCATAAAATAAAGTGTAGCCGATCATTTTTATGAGAACCACATCAGTTAACCGGAGAACATTTACCAGATCAAATCTAAAATGAAGAAGAAGGAGAGTTAATAAAAACTAGTAGTCGCCTAGTGGTCGAAATTCGACCATAATTAACTTAAATTATAAGTTTGAACATAATTAAGGTTCTATTGCCATTTTACTTCCATAATCACAAATTTTACCAAGGTTACACCACTGGCTACACTATAGACAAATAATATTATTCTGTTTTCAATTCGACCCCAGACTAACAATAAATAAAAGAGTATTTATGTATGCGTCAAATACGTGGTAGCGTATGTAATGTTTTTCTTATTGATTTAATGTATGTTTATGCATAATTGAAAAAAATAAAATTGCTTTTTTTTTTCCTACCTAAGCTGAGAGCCTTGAGAGGCTATTTCAGCGTAACCCTAACGTTTGTAGGTGAGCTCACGGGGCTCAAACCTGATGACGTTGCTAACACGAACCCTAGCAAGAGCCGTGGTTCGCAGAATCTACCACCGGATCGGAAACGCGACCCACTGAGAAGATCCGGCGAGAAACTCAGTGGGCTGTATCTGGGAGTTAATTTACTCGTCGAGCCCTTCGTCGCAAGCGACGGGTTCGACGAGAACGGTGACCGGTGCTTGAAGTACCTAGAAGCACCGTTAGTGGATCGGGAGGATCCGAGATGACGTGTTTTGGGTGACGTCGACTGCTTTCCATTCTATCCGCAGGATCGGGAATGTAGTTACCGGCGGCCACGATGAGAGGGTTCTCGTGTCGTGCCGCTTTATCGAAGTGGCGCATTGACGCCGACTGGAGATACTTACTGATGGACTCTAAGTCCAGGTCGTCATGGAGGTCGACGTTCCTGACGAACCACGGGGCTCCGACGGCTATCCTACAAAAACGGGATTGAATAATATGGAATGATTTTAAGTGAGTGCGGGCCGCGTGAGCGAACACTACACTTGCATAGGTCATGACGGGGCGTATCCAAGTTTTGTAGAGTGTCACCTTATTTCTAAGGGACATTTTACTTCGCCTACATATCATCGGGTAGAGACGTCCTAGAATGAAGGCGGCACGGTCGCGTACCGTCTTGATGTGGGGGCGGAATGTCATCCTACTGTCGAGGATGACGCCTAAATATTTGACCTTCAGGGCCCACGGTATGGGCTGGTCGAACATCGTGATTGGGCGAATGGCGGAGGTGTTGACGCGCCTAGTCGGGAGAGGGATGCTCAGCGTGGTGTTCGGAAGGCGACCCCTTTTGAAGAGCACCGCTGTGCTTTTCGTAGGGTTGATGTCGATATAAAATTGCATTCTGCACTGCTTCTCTATATAAACTATAAGCGTGGGAAATTTCATACTCCTCTGTCCGCGCAATTTTAGTAAAAAGGGTTACAAAATTTTTGCTTCACGTATTAATATATTATAGATAACCATTTATAATTCTTGTTTAGTACTTATGTGTTGTTCACATACCTACATACATATTTAAAACATCATTAAGTAGGTCATCAGAAATCTTTTAAATAACAACTATCTCGCACTTCAGAAATGTCTATATGCTTGCCTTGTGCTAATAACTCGTGAGTATTTTTTGGATTCGATTCTATTGGACTATAATATATTCTACCATCGTCTACCACAGTGGAGATCATTAGTGCACTTCATATAATGGTATACGACATTGGTCCACAAAAATGGGTTTTGTTCCAAAATCGAAATAGCACTTGATTGCGCGACTGTACAAACTTTTCAGCTCAGATTAAAACTTTATAGATTAATAAGCTCGATCTCGTCAAGACTAGAGTCGTCTTCAAGCGGAAGACAGATGCCCGCAGTACTAGCTAACGATTCCACCGCTGATACTTCCAACGACATGCGCACACCCAGGAATCGGCCAACCGCCTTGAGATACATAAGCAGTAGTAGTAGAGGTGATTGTTTTTAATGTTGTAGTAGTAAAAAAAATGTTAACATTTTCAAAGTTCCTAAACTAATTTATTCAGTACAGAATTTTATCTCTAAACAGTTTCAAAAACAGCTTTCAACAACTCACGAGCGATTTGAGAAGTAGGTAATAGAAGGACGTTGATGAAGTCGTCGTGGTCTAAAGGATAAGACGTCCGGTGCAATCGTATCTAGCGATGCAACGGCGTTCGTATCCCGCAAGCGGGTACCAATTTTTCTAATGAAATATGTACTTAACAAATGTTCACAATTGACTTCCACAGCGAAGGCATAAATAACATTGTGTAATAAAAATCAAACCCGCAAAATTATAATTTGCGTAATTACTGGTGGTGGGACCTCTTGTGAGTCCGCACGGGTAGGTACCACCGCCTTGCCTATTTCTGCCGTGCAGCAGTAATGAATTTCGGTTTGAAGGGCGGGACAGCCGTTGTAACTATACTGAGACCTTAGAACTTAGGTATATCTCAGGGTGGGTGGCGCATTTACGTCGTAGATGTCTATAGGCTACAATAACCACTTAACACCAGGTGGGCTGTGAGCTCGTCGACCCATGTAAGCAATAAGAATATATAGAATATGTAATGGAATAGATATGGAATATTCTAAAAGTGGTTAAACAATAATAAAGACTTAAGTAATTGTAATAAACAACATTTAAAGCCTTTATTTTCCACAAATTATTTACACAGTATTCTTGAATTAAATAAAACTGAACTCGTCTTTTTTCTGAATGACAGAGGGTTTAGTCAATCTATACATATAAGAAAAATCGGTTTTTTTTTTAAACTAAAAAGGTTTTATATAAAAATTACATAAGAAGGTTTTCTTTACATGCATTTGTTTTTAAAATTAGATTTAAATATTATAAAAGTGGTGTCGATTGGGAGAGGCCTATGTCCAGCAGTGGACAGCATGGACTGTGGGCTGGTGATGATGATTAGACATATAGGTTCAACTGATTCGGTTGTGTAGTAGTTAACGCCCTTGACTAATGAGCCGGGGGTTGTGGGTTCGATTCCCACGTCGGGCAAACATTCCTATGACGAATAGGTTTGTTTGCTCTTCGTTTGGGCGTTTATTATTTATATATGTATTTAAAAATCATAATATGTATGTCAATCTCTGGTACCCATAGCACAAGGAATCCTAATTTGCGGCCGAATGACCGTGCGTGATTTGTCTCCAGTTATTATTATTATTTTAATTATTATGTATTTGTGAAGTTCAATCATACTTTAGCTTGGTTTTAGGTGGTTACAGCGGCGCCAGATCGGGCAGATCAACGAGCGTGTCCGCAGTAGAAGCTAGTGTTATTTTAGGTAAAAAATAATAAAAATTATGATCGATGCAATAATCTTGATAAAATTGTCTGTTTCAAACTCCCATCGTATTATTTTGCCTCATATTATGTCCATGCCCATATTGATGTAGAAAGCAAACCTTCCCTATTAGAATCCCTAATTTCACTTTTATCTGTATTCTATCCGAAAATATAAATATTTTGTAACATTTTAGATTTTTCGTTACTTTATTTTTGGCTATAATTTTTTTAAAATATTTAACGTAATACANAAATTGTCTGTTTCAAACTCCCATCGTATTATTTTGCCTCATATTATGTCCATGCCCATATTGATGTAGAAAGCAAACCTTCCCTATTAGAATCCCTAATTTCACTTTTATCTGTATTCTATCCGAAAATATAAATATTTTGTAACATTTTAGATTTTTCGTTACTTTATTTTTGGCTATAATTTTTTTAAAATATTTAACGTAATACAAAACAATAGAAATTACAATAAAATAAAGTATTGTCTCGTGATGATGCATTCTTGTGTCTTTAGACTCCGATAGCATGCGGCCTGTGCTTCTATGCCTTTTCATTAAATAAAAATCCACAAATTATAGCTTCGATCAATTAAGATGTATAAAATTTTCAAAATTCAATTTTTTTTTTCTGCTATTTTAAGAGTGTCTGAAGTGAAATTTCCGGAGACTTTCACTTATTTACTGATTTTTTTTACTGACCTGAACCGATTTTTTTACTTACTTGAACCTAAAAGCATATTAAAATTCACATATCAATATTATTTAGAAATATGAACGTGTTTTGTTTAGCTATATCGGAAGGCAGAGGAATGGCCCGCGGGGAAATAGGAATGGCAGCCGTCGATCTAAAACATCCACATCTAGTACTGTGTCAATTTAGTGACACGCTCTTATACACTCACACACTAACAAAAATAAACTACTTCAATCCAGTTGAGGTAATGTAATAACTAACGCAGCTCGTAGGTACATATGTATGTATATCATTAATATAACGCTCGCTCAATTATCACGCAACATTACAGATAATTGTGCCGCACACATTCTGCGAGGGCGTGAAACCGAATCAACTTTATCAATTGATAAAAGACCAGTTCCCTTTGTGTACCCTAACGACGGTACAAAGGAGGCATTTCAATGATTCAGCAGGCCGTCAGAACATACAGACGCTTTGCGCACCGCAATACAGCGGGGCTTATCTCCAAGTACTGCATAAGTCCGTTCAAACAATAATAAAAACAAATAATCGGCTAGAATTTTTGTGATCGCAGTTAAAAAAAAAGCGTAATTTTTATTTAAGATTTTACGCACTAACCGCTGCGGCAGCGGTGCTGAAATACGTAGAACACATCCAATGTATAGTTTTCGCAAGAGAATCTCTCAAAGTCGAATATAATTCGTCAGAAAACACTATGATTATTGGTAAAGGAACAACTTTGCTTAATAAAGTATTCAGGGAAAAACTTAAAATGATTAACGATATCTTTAGACGTAGGTACGGCAACGCAACTGGAATTAGTTCAGCCTTTAGTTCCTTCGGCTGGACCAATGTGTTGTCTTCTTGGTGTGCTTGGCCCGACTTATACTGTTGGAGGGATTAGGGCATTGAGGGCTTCTATCTTGCAACCGTCTTGCAATAAACAATTAATTGAATCAAAACTAGATGTTCTTCAAGATTTAATTGAAAATGACAATGGTTTGATGGCTGATTTACAGGTGGGGAATGTGACTATTATCGATTAATATTGCTGTTTGTCGCTCACCTTATGTTAATAGCTGAACATATTTCAGGACATTTTAAGAAGGCTATCAGATATTGATAAAATATTATTCTTGTGCATTGAGCATAATATTCAAAATGCTGACAAATTAGGAGAGGCGCAGCTCAATCAAGTGTTAATTCTAAAAACGACAATGAATATGGTACCAAAACTAGTTGAAGCTTTGAATCGTGCCGAAAGTGGTCTATTAAGACAATTTAAAACGGTCAGGTTTGCTGTTTAAGCAATTTTCGTCTCTCATTGACTTAATAAATTAGATCCGTTTTCATTTATTCAAATGTTTCTTATCCAGGATTTCGAAAATCCACATTACAATGAAATTGCCGAACGCATAAAAAATATCATACAAGACGACGCGCATTTCGAGAAGGGAGTAATGGGTAATCTCCAAAGATGTTTTGCAGTCAAGCCCGACATTAACGGACTCCTCGATGTGGCCAGAAGGACGTATTCTGAATTAATAGATGACATACAGAAAATTGTCGAACAGCTCAGCGAGACATACGACCTGCCTCTGCGGCTAAACCAAAACGTTATGAAAGGATTCCACATAGTTTTACCTATAGCTCCAAAAAACAGACGCAATTTCAGTATTGAAGATCTGCCCCCAATTTTCATACAGGTAAGTAGGTACGTGACATACGTGAAACTTGACAAGGAAGGCAGGTAGGCCAATGATCGAATGAATCCTCGAAGGCTCCGTCGGCCGGGCGTCCTTGGGGTGAGCTGTGCCGTCTGGTTGTAGTGTTGACCGCGGTAACCCCCTTACCTCCGGGTTCTGACCTCGGTGGGGATCGGACGCTTGGGCGAAGAGTGCAGGGGAGTCGCTTAGTGGGTAGGGCCCTGAAAACATCCTTGAGCCCGCGGTTTCGCAGTCGCGGACCAGGCCCTCATACCCCGCGCGCCCTCTAGGCGCGGGGACCTCGTAAGAGGTTCGGTCCCGGCCCGAAAAAAAGAAAAAGAAGAAAGGTAGGCCAATGATTTCAATGTCGAGAAAATCGAGATACAATTAAAATATTAATAAATAAATAAGAAAATCAAAATGAAACCTTAAAAATAAATCTAATTACACATATTTTAAGTTTCATATTTAGGTACACAACAACGGAGCCAGCGTATCGATGTCGACTGAAGAACTTGTAGTTCTCGATCAACAGGCAAAGGAATCTTTGAATGAAATACAAAGAATGAGTAACATGTTAGTTTAATATTTTTTTAAATATAACCGATTCCGATCACTGTATACCTGTTCTTTTCTTAAACTAAAACATATTCGACAAGTTTTATTTCCTAAATACGACATTTCCAGAGTTATCGATGCATTATTGAAAGATTTAAGGCCATACATGTCGAGTCTGTACAAATTATGCGAGAACGTGGCTGAAATTGACATCCTCCTGGCATTAGCACAGGTTCGGATTATACATATTTTAATGCAACAAAAGCATTATAACTCGTACCTCTTAACTTCTTATATGTTCCAGGCTAGCATGGCAGGGTCGTATATCAGACCGGAATTTAACAGCTATTTAGAAATAAGGAACAGCGTCCATCCGTTATTGGATTATAACAGTCACGTGATGCCAGTTCCAAATGACATAGTAAGAAACGCGCGAAATAANGTTCGGATTATACATATTTTAATGCAACAAAAGCATTATAACTCGTACCTCTTAACTTCTTATATGTTCCAGGCTAGCATGGCAGGGTCGTATATCAGACCGGAATTTAACAGCTATTTAGAAATAAGGAACAGCGTCCATCCGTTATTGGATTATAACAGTCACGTGATGCCAGTTCCAAATGACATAGTAAGAAACGCGCGAAATAACATCATACAATTGAAAACTTCTTTTTTCACGTTCATCAATTATTTATAGAGTATCTCTTTTACTTTTATAGAATGCCAGCCCAGAATACAATTTCACTATAATCACCGGTCCGAATATGGGCGGCAAAAGTGTTTATATAAAACAGATTGCTATTATGCATGTTATGGCGCAAGTGAGTTACGGATAATCATTTAGCTATCACGACTTCATGAATGACCAATTTAATAAATGTTTCGATTGATAATAGCATACATTAAAATGATTTATCGATGTTTTGAAATAAAAAAAAATATTGACAGAAGAGCATATGGCCCACCTGGTGGTGAGTGGTTACCGTCACTGATGGACGTCAACAATGTCAGGCCACTGCCTACCAATTAAAAACGGCATACATCCTATTTATTTTACACTAGTAAGTAATCTCGAATATATTTTAGGCTTCGAATGTGTTGCTTGATTGCATTAAGTAAAATTCTGTACTAAAGGGAAATAAATAATAGTTTTAAAAAAAAGCGCTTTTATAGAAAATCCAACTAAAAAAATAAACTTATTGTAAAGAAAGCGTGGAGTGCTTTTTCAGATATTACTATAACATACATACTAACCTTCGTATGAATCTAATAAAAGCGTATTAAAAAAAGTTGAAAACATTCTAATTTGAAATTAAAACAATTGTACTATTGCCTAATTATGTAATTATACATATGTAATATATGTATATTGTAACGTTATAACTGCTTTTAAATTACTAAGCAGATTGGTTGTTTCTTGCCCGCCACTAATGCTGTACTGCGACTTAGTGACAGAATATTTTCGAGAATCGGTTTCAACGACAGCGTTGAGTTGAACGCTTCTACTTTTGTTTTCGAGGTAATATTTCTCATTACATTTAAAGTAAAGTGTGACTTTTAAAGTATTTATTGGATACATGTATCTGAAAATTTCGAACACAAAAACTATACGTAATTGTTAGCAATTTTTCACATCTGTGTGCTCAGTGCGAGTTTTTTTATCTTCTCGATCGCGTAAAAGAAAGCTAATTAAGATTTGTGTGGAGTTCGAACAGCGCCCCTGGCGGCAAACTAAGGGAAGCTGTTCCAACTCAGAGAATATTTAATAACATTAATATAAATTAAACTAGTATTTCTATGACAGATGAAAGAGATGCAGCATATTTTAAAAGGACTGACGCCATCAAGTCTGGTCATAATAGACGAACTCTGTCGGTCAGTACCTATTTAAAACAATTTGCGTATAAAATTTCCTTTGTATGTAAATATATAATATGGAATATTTATCCAGCGGTACAACATACGAAGAGGGAGTCAGTATAGCCTGGGCGATCTGTGAAGAATTAATATTATCTGACGCTTTCACGTTCTTCACAACACACTTTTTATATTTGACGAAATTGCAACACCTTTACTACAACGTGGTCAAGTATGTAGTACGCTCTAAGCAGAAACTAACAAGAAAAAAATAATCACATTAACAATTGTCATTTTATTGTTTCTAAACAAAAATTAGACTCGCAAATGCAAGCTTATAATTTTTATTTGATTCTTTTAATATTTTTTGGTGTGTTAAAAATTGTTTTTCAAATTTGCATTAATAATCGGTGTAGGCTAAAAAGCCATTTCGTTTTAACGATAACTTATCATCATACACGCGATATGAATCCCATCTTGTAATATAATGTCGACTGGGGTAAATTGGAATAAAATTCAGAGTTATTTGATATTTTAATTATGTAACGATTTAAATTTTAAGGCAATTTTTACTTTATTGCTTACGATACGTATAATTTTGTAGTCGCCATACTACTGTTAAGGAAGAAAACTTTGATGAACTGAACGATTCTCATAAAAAACTGATTTATGAACATAAAATAGAATTAGGAGTTACGAACATAAAAAACTATGGATTGGCATTGGCAGCAAAAACAAATTTACCAGAAGACACCGTAAAACTTGCATTTGAACTAGCAGAACTTATGACCATTGATGAAGAGGTTAAGTATTATAAATAAGAATATTAATAAAAATAAATTATTTGTAAGATTTTTCTCGAAGATATTCATTTATGATGTCATCGTTACACGCCCTTCCCGACTACAGCGACTGGCTTTCTATTTTACTAGTCCAAGTTTTATGGCATGCTCTTATGTAAAAAATATGGAAAATTATAGAGATATAGTCAAAGTTTATTTAATAAACAACAAGCATCATAACAGGACAACTTCATCAGAAGACACTCCCACATGGTAGACAGACTGTAATGCTAATGGTATAATTTTATTAAGCATAGAGAAATCATCTACAAAATTATAAAGCCAACCAGATAGTTTTGAATGTATCGTATAAATTACAATAAATTTAGTGCGCCTGAGTTCTTAAATCTATATAGTTCTAAGTTGATTAATTTGATTTAGGTATTTCTCAGTCTATTTATCGAAGTCAAATAACACTGCAAGTAATTATGGATGAAGTTTTTGTAAATTCAACAAATAGCACAAAGGATAATTTTAAGGATTAAATCAGTTAAAATCTTTATATTATTATATTCCAGACGCCAGAAACCATCCCGCCGCAAAGAAATGACGAAAGAGAACTTTATATTTTAAATGCAGAGCTACAAAAAGAATATAGAAAAAATGGAGGTTCAGAGAAAGCTTTGGAAGCCATCATAAACAAATTCAAAGAAAATAATGCTGAACTCGTTGAAAAATTGAAAATTCAAACCAGCAACAATCCTTCTAGTTCAAGTAACGAATGTTGGTCAAGTGACCCTAAAAAAGGCTATTCAAATAATGCCAGTGGCAGTGGTAAAAAACCTTTGGAATATAATAGAGCACCCGAACAACTAAGTACCGAGTCTTTAACAGATAGCGAAAAACCCGGTGCTACAGAGATATACCCACAAATCAAATCTTCCAATGAACTATTGACAAGCATGAAAAATATAAAAAACAAATCTCATACGAACATTGACGAAGACATACAAACGATTGGTATAGAAAACGTTAATACTAAATTAAATAATTTATCTCCAAATTGTTTAAATGAAAGTAATCATTACATTGAAGAATACCAAAATACGTTAAGCACGGAACATGAGAATTCACTCAGTGATGAAGATTTATCAGAAGCACTAACGCAGGTTATAGGAGAATGTTCCAATTCATTCGATCATTCAATAGATAATGAGGATAGGGCTACCGATGAAACCCTTATGATAGAAACGATTAACGAAATTAATGAGGAATTGAACAATGCATCTAGTTATAATTTTAACGATTTAATTTTAACGCCACCAATCGCTTTCAGGGACATTTCGTAGAATAAACTAAATGTCTTTTCAGAAAATAAAGTTTGAAATTAGTATCAGTTGATATTTTTTATGTTCTAAATGGGATCAAAGTCCATTTGGTTTCGAATAGTTTTTGGAAGCCATAAATCAGAATGTAAATGCAGCCATCCACATATAGGCAATAACTAAAGCTAAATTACCCATGGACACAACCCACTGAGTGTCTCGTCGGATCTTGTCAATCTTGTCCGTGTGTCGCGATTCCGATCCGGTACCGCTCTTGCTATAGCTGGTTTTAGCAATTTCTCTCAGGTTGAGACTGAACTCACCTACTCTTTCACGCGTAGTAGACTACTATTAGGTAGGGAAAAATGAAGCTAAATTATACTAAATAAGTGGATGTTCGTTAAGAGAAGACTAAAAAAAGTAGAGGTAGAGAGCCCAAACTGTGTATCAAAAAATGATCGTCACAATCATTAAATTCAGTGTTTCTCCGGTAGAATGACGTCACTTTACCACATGTGAGTGTTGTGGATATAATATTATTTCCAAACTTATTTATTTATTTAGTTTTATAGATAAACTTAGCATAAACATATTAATTTATGGTGATTTCATTAATTACCAACCATAGGTTTATCTCCGCATTTTAAACATTTTCAGACTAGAAATAAGTTTCTTGCGATATCATTGTTCCCAGTCGAGCTTATAAAAATAGTTCTAAAGTTAACTGGGCGAATTTTAGAGAATGGTTAAAGCGTTTTATGGGTTCGGGCAATATTTATCTAGCACATAATTATGAAAGAATTAATAAAAAAATTCGTAGATTTAGACAGAAAACATATACTCGTATTATCTAACAAAAACTAAACTAAAGAGGAGTTAAAGGTTAATTAGTACAAGAATTCAGATTTTAAGAAAGAGGAACTATAAATCAATGTGAGGAAGAATCAAACTCCGGACAAGTGAAAATGAAATGGTTAACGCAGGGTTGCCAACTTTTGAATATTTTTCCTCGTACAAAAGCAGGTAAAAATCTCGTATATTTTCTTTCGAATCTCGTATATTGCGCGTAAAATGTAATAAAACTAAGAAAAATGCATTAAAATTAGGATATTTTGCAAAATAAAATTACTTTTACAAGTTTGCTACAAATAAAATATCTCTATCCATTAAAAAAACATGTATTATTATATTATTATAGGCTTAGTTTATCATCTCCAAATACGATATCAGGAACATCCTTACTGACGTCGTTTTACACTGGCGTATAACTTTTCTTTAGTCATACGACTATACATCTCCTTCGATGCTTCAAAATTAACGCAGTTTCCAACACGTGTTGGACCTTTTCTACCCTCCGCAGCAAGAAGGGTGCCGTTCACAGTTTCCACAGAAGTCGGTTTCGTATGTCTGTTTTTATTAAATTGACTTTAATAAAAACCTGCTCGCAATCGGCATTCGCATGGGGCAGGAATAATGTAGATAGGGCAAAATGAGCTAGCTCGCAAAGCCTTCAGTTTTCAGTACATGGGCTCAAAACTTATCTGGCTCAAAATTTTCATTTAAACCTTCAGGATAACGAGCTTGAGCTCATTCATATTTATTCGAGTGAGATATAGATATAATTTAATCATGTAGATAAAAAAGTTCCCAGCAATAAAAAGGATTTTTTAGTTTCATAAATCAAAATCTCGTACATAATTGTACGAGGCTAATAACGTCCTCGTACCTCGTACGGAAGACCAGAAATCTCGTAATTGTACGAGCAACCTCGTACAGATGGCAACGCTGGGTTAACGTCACCAATACCTGCGTCCTGCGTTCCAAAAACGAATGGGATATTCTTTACCAAAGTTTTTTTCCAATCGCACTACACGCAGACTAAAAAAAGATAGTCAAATGAGATCGTTTTCCTCTCTTTCTCGATCTCTTTCTCCTTCGTGCAATAGATACATTTTTAGTTACTAAACACTACTTTAAGACAGTAAATATAAGACTACAGGTCCTTAATTTTTTGGTGTCAATGCTATAAATCGTTATCGTTGTAAATTCAAATTATAAATTTACTCCTTACACTAGGTATATATTCTCTTAATATAAATTTGCTGAGTAAAATTGCACAACCCTAAAAAAGTATTGCCAGCTGAGGAATTTTATTTCCCAACTAGCAGGGGAGTACTCCTACTATTCACGTAACTACACCTTGAATAATTTGACAATAAGGCCAAATATTAGTGTACTCTTTATGATTAGAACAGAATTACAGCAGAATGATTCATGTTGATCCAAGAGAGACATTAACTTAATAGTATAGTTATTCGCTACTACTGTGCATACAGGGTAGAAAGAAAGAGGAACTTATTCTGTTATATTGAACAGTGGACAGCCTTTAAGGTTCAGCAGTAGCAGCGCTCAAAATGTTGATGGTTTCCATGGATTATTTTAATACATAAGATACTATTACGTATAGCACTCTCAGACCGAATAATACAGACTCAAAATATCAATAAAACTGCCAACTGATATCGCTTATTAAGAAACTTGTAACTTACTTTTACATTAATAAATTATTTCTTAGCATTGAAGTTAGCGTTTTACAAACTGTTAGCTTTATCAACTAGTTCTAATTTAAGTCTAATTAGATTATAGCATAAAGTTGATCTTTGATTTAAACAACAACTCTATGATAGCTATTCGCACCATCTTCAATCACATTCCTCATAATATGTTGAAAACATATAAGCTTAATTCGACAAATATTAAATTTTTCAATCTATGATCGAGAAGTATACCGTAAAAATAAAATTAGTAGGTACGTATACTTAATGGTTTTTGGGTTGATTTTGTAGTTTGGTTAGTACGAAAGTGTTTTGAATTCTCTTTGGTAGGAAGCTTTTAGTAGTTATTGGTATTACTGCCTTAAAATTCAGTCTATTGTCATTGATTTTTTGGCGGGAGGGCGAGGAGTGAAGTTGTGTGATTTGTTTTATTTTGTCTATTTGGTGTTTCTTCGGGCTTAAATGTGTAATAACGGTGGCTTATTAACTAATTAGTATCTGTGAAAGTGCACAAATGTGAAAATGAAACAAAGCCACTGAACGTAACTTCTCGGGATCTTCCAAAAAGTCCACTGAAAAAGTCTTATTAAATGTCCACCATTTTCTGAGATTATATTTCATCCTATATCATCTCATCTCATTTCATTTAATTTCATCCAAGTTGATTAATGTCTCAAATCAATCATCTTCATTTCATTTTATTTTAATCGGCCCTCTGGTGTAGTGGTAAGTGACATGGTCACTACACAAGGGGTTCGCGGGTTCGAATCCCGCCAAGAGAAGGTATTTGTATGATAAATATAAATGTCTTTTCCAGGGTTATGGATGTATCTTAAATATATGTATGTGTATAATAAAAATCTTACGTTTATTTCCGTTATCTGGTACCTGTAACACAAGTTCTTTACGAACTTATCACAGGACCAGTTAACGTGGTGTGATTGTAAGTAAAATATTTATATTTTATATTTATTTATATTTAATTTCACTCCACATTATCATTTATCATAAAAATAAGAATATAATATTATGTTAAAATAAGACATGACTTAAAAATCTAAATTACCAGGTCATAAAATCCCTTAGAAAAATATCAGAATGTATAATCTATGATTCAGTCTATTGCAAATGGCCGTCAAACAAATTGATTTGTATTAGAGTTGTTTGTAATTTTTTCTTCCAAATGTGGTGTTATATTAACTTTGTTGAAAGTGATACAATACATTTCAAGCCTTAAACTCGAAAAGGTAAGTAAAAAATGCTCAATTACAAGTATATTTCAAATNAATCCCTTAGAAAAATATCAGAATGTATAATCTATGATTCAGTCTATTGCAAATGGCCGTCAAACAAATTGATTTGTATTAGAGTTGTTTGTAATTTTTTCTTCCAAATGTGGTGTTATATTAACTTTGTTGAAAGTGATACAATACATTTCAAGCCTTAAACTCGAAAAGGTAAGTAAAAAATGCTCAATTACAAGTATATTTCAAATAGTAATACCTCGTTCCGTTAAACAAGCTTTCATTTGATTAGTGATACTTATAAAGTTCTTCGTTGTAGTAGGCGGTCAGCAATGTCGCTGCCGCCGTATCTGCTGGGGCCCAACCCCTGGGCCACGATGATGGCGCAGCAGCAGTTGGCAGCGGCACAACAAGCGGCGCTTCAAGCGCACGCGGCTGCCGCTGCTGCTGCGCCCCCGGTGCCACCAGCGCAGCCCCCTAAACCAACTCATGTTCCCGAGGAGAAGATAAAAGAAAAAGGTCAGTTTAGTATTCAATGCTATGTATTTATTGTTAGATGTAAACTAGGCATTAGTACGGATATTGATGTAAAGAAGAGAAATTATTAGACTAACCTAAAAAAAAAGGACAACGTATTACCAATATTGATAACCGACTTTTAATATTTCATACAATTCAATGTTTATTTTTGTATCCATTGAAGATGAATGAATATTTGGCATTCCTTATTGATATTTGTATTAAAATTTACTATTCATACTGATACCATTGATCTCTTGAGTTACTTATTTCAAATCTATACTAATATATAAATCTATCATAAATTCTATATAATCTTTCTATCTAAATCTATTATAGTTTTTACGGATGTTCCGTTATAACTACTGAACTATGCATCCGATTGACTTGAAACTTGGTATCCATGTAGAAAATACATGTACTTAATGGATAGGCTAATATTTATGAGTGTTGGGTTCCCTTATAATAATGACAAATAATAATGTTAATTTTAAATGCCCAGCGTAGAGGGCGAGTACGGCTAGTAATTCATATATTTTATCAAATGAATAGGACACCAATCAAAGGTATGATTCTGTTAGTTAAGTTGACCAAAATTCATACCCTATATCATATGCAGTATGGAAAGACGGTATATTATTGATTGCTCTATATTTCAATTATGTATATAACATATGTAAGATTAAATGATAAGAAAACTAATGAATGATTAGAATCATTGAAGCAA